TATGCACAGGGCTGATGTGAATGTTCCTGGACAAATTGTTGGTTGTATACCTGTGTTCGGTTTTAGGGGTAAATATCTAGGAGTGGAAGGGCCAGGTCATCAGGTTATTCTATGTTTAACTATTTTAAACAAACTTCAAATTCAGGTTTAAATTTACTCCACAAAATTGAGTTTCAGCACCAAAAATAACAGCCATATTTTCTGTACTATTGGTAGAAAAACCCAAAAACAGTTGCTTTGGTAGGTTTTCCAGGTTTTGCTTGTAAAGCAAGATGAGACAGTAGGTATAGTCATGGAGAAAGACAGAAGAAAATGGACAAATCAGGTGCTGGTATCCATGACGTCTGACTCTCTCTTACCCTGAAACAGAGCTGTTCAGCATCCTCGCAACAAGCTTATGAAGACATAGGCTCAGCACAGGAATGTGAATAGCAGCAAGCAGACAAAATTTTCTGCAGTAACCCCTCAGTGCTTCCTCAAGGGCCCCTTCTAATCATATAGTTTTCCTCTCTATGAGCCATCCTTCTTTGTCCCTTTGTATTCCCTGCAACTTCTTGCAGAAGACTTAGCATGTGGAATATGATGATGTGACAATTATGGATGTCAGGTTCTCCCCATCCCGATCATTTCTTGTTTCTGCTTATTACAATAGTCCTTGTTAGTTTCTTTAGTAAATTTTCTGATCCACTCCTGCGAGTTCTGTATTTGTGGCCCCTGAAGTCTTTGTCCCATTAGCCCAAGGGTCAGCTGGGTTTCTGAGTTTACCGGGTCTTCGGATGTCCTCCTTGGGAAAGAGGGTGAGTGAATTCTCTATGTGAGAGGAAGAGCAATCATATCCTTTGGTGAAAAGAAAGACAGTGTGGTGGCCAGCATCCACTTCTGCTTTCACTCTGGCACACAGAAGACTATGTCTCCTAGACCTCTTGGTTTTGGAAAGGATGTGTGGTGCCTTCTGACCAATGGCATCACTTTTAAGCCAAAGAAGAAAAGAAGAGGTGTAAGACCCTAGGTGCTCTTTCTGTCCTTTGGTGGCAACTGAAGAAGGCATCAGTTTCAGATGGTGTACCAACAAGATCGTGGGGCCTCCATCAGCCTTGCCCCACGTGACTTAGGAAGCAGGGGTCCCTTCACCTCAACTATCAATGTATGATGTAAATCTGAGGAGAAATACATCTTTAGTCATGAATTTCTCAATTGTTGCGTTTATTACCAGAGCGTTACCTAAGTTATCCTGGAGATTACAATGACCTACCCTCTCTGATCGTCTAACAGATAATTCTTCCAGAACAGCATTTGCCAAATCTCATGCTGCTGTGTTCAGTATTAATGTCTCCTGATTGCTGCCTGTCACAGATGGGGCCCTGGAAAGAGACTGTGAGGGGGAGGATTCCATGTGGAAGGTTTAGGGAGGTGTTCTGGGGAGATGTCCCTATGGGAAGTTAGCAAGGCGGGGATAGTTGAATGAGAAGCTGAAGCACAAGACAGTTGCCACTGAGTCTCTGCCAACCCTCAAGGATCCATTCAGCTGGGACGGCCCTTTGGTGTTGGCCCAAATTGAGACCAGACTTCTTATTCCCTTATCGGCCAGACATGGGCCTCTGGCTGTCCCTTGAGAGGGCTGTGTCCTAAGGTTAGGTGGTTCCCTATGCTGTGGGCATGTCCTGTGAGGGAAAGAGCTGTGAGCTGTTTCAGCCAAAGTTCCCAGGAGCAGTGCAGTGGATGCATTGACCTTGAGCATGACCCTGGGCTGAGTCTCAATGTTTCCATGGCACTTCTCCTTCACCATCATCTTCCTTCCCAACCCAGTTAATAATCTCACAAACTGAGAAGTCCTTGGGATGACATGCGTAGAGCTTCTGCCTTTCCCTATGATTGGATGAGAGAACTGATTGGTGAAGACCAGAATCTCTCTCTCCAGAATCCAGACCCCTTACCCAGGGGCTTTGGTAGATCTCCAGAAGTGTTCCAACCTTAGCTGCAAATGCTGAAGTTGTTCCTAAAACAGTGGCCACAGTTTTGCTCTAGTCTGGTGGTTGTAGTTAGAGAGAGTTCAATTCCCTAAGGAGAGTCAGAGTGGTCTCCAAGGTCTTGTGGTCACTGGGACAGGCAGTGAAGACATCAAAACCTATGGGCAGGTTGAGGAGTCAAGAGGGGTTCTCATTGGTCTCCTCAATGGTTAAGGAAAGGCCAGTACATCTTGGCACTTCTTCCAGAGCCACGAAAACCGAGGGGGCAGCAGTCAGGTGAATGATCCAATCATGTCATTCAAGGAGAAATCCTAAGGCGAGCCAAGGGAAAGGCAGTGTTTGAGAGCCAGGTTTCCCATTCAGAGATCCTCCCATCTTGGCAATCGGAGGTGGTATGAATATGGTTCCCAGGGCTCTGGAATACTCTAGCATGAATCCCTCACTGTGATGAGACAGATCACCAAGAGAGGCTTGCGGGGCACTGTGAGTGGGGTGAGGTGGCATTTAGCTGGATGGTATGGCTGTCAATGGGACAGATTTTTTGTTAGCTCCTGTAAATGGAAGATGCATCAATGAATGGACCACGTGGCAAGATATTCTTGAGGGACGTGAGTGAGGAGTACAGTCCCATGTCTTACACCACTTTGGAAAGACTGAGTTCACTCCTAATGTGATCTTGTTTTCACTTACACTGGAAGACGAGATGCAAGCACCCATCCCCACCTTACACCTGCAACAGTCTAAACAGAACCTGGCTTTCCAGTTCCTCAAACATTTTGGGGATTTCTCTCTGACACTATATGCACCTGAGGCATTTCAAGAGATTCACATTATTATTTTCTCTTCCCTTTAGTTAGCTCTTTGGAAGCCAGTTTTGGTAACTCATACTTTCCTTCAAAAATAAACCTGTCATCCAGATTTGCTAACTGCTTTACTCACGGACTTCAGCAAACAATTTCCAATTTGGAAACCCAAAGATGGGATAAATTGTCCCTCCTCTGCCACAGCTGTACCCATGTGACTTACTGAATGTTGCTACCTGCCAGGTCGGCTCTCAGGAGCATCCCAGGCCTGGAGGAGACTCTCTTGGGACACCCATGCCTTCATCCTGGCCCTGGACTAGCCCTGGGAGCTGCCACGACTCTTTCTCCCTGGAGGGACAGCACAGCCTTCCCCACCTTCCTCTGGCAAGTCTCTTTCCTGGGTGGCTGTGCTGCATCAGCAAGGGCCTGGGCTGCTGGGAACCAGGATTGATCCTCAGCTTCTGGCTGTCCTGAGACGGCCTCCCTGGCAGAGTCCAGTCTGCCGAGTGTCTGAGTGACACTTGCAGCCATCAGGAAGGAGGGGATAACTCAGAAGTGACAAGCGATTCATCTGGTCCTTGCTTACATGGTGTTTCCTGGTGATGAGGCTCAAAAGGCCAGGTGGCCACCCTGTGGCTGTTAGTTCTCAGGCGGGTTCTCTGGTTGAGCCAGACCAGTGTCTGTTGGACACCCACATGGGGAGCATTTTCGGATTATACTTGGTGAGGCTATGTCCATGCACATCCACAGAACATTAGTTTGGTGGCAGTGCCCGCAGGACCCCCAACTCACACCCTTCTTAGGCCTCATCTTTCCAACTTCCCAACAGGAAAGGTTCACACCTCGATGATAGAACCACAGCACACGACTGTGGAAAAGACCCCAGTCACCCCAGGGGCTACATGCTTCATGGGCTCGGGCCCAGCTGCCACTTTAGGAAAAGCCAGTCAAATTACACCAGAGTGTGCAAACTGGTGATTGTCCAAGACCATGGACCTGAGAACCACACAGGCCCAGAGGTCACCCTGGGCAGCAAGGAACACTGTGGGGTCATTCCTGGTCAGGATGATGGTCTGTTATCCTGGAAAACCAGAGCTCACCTGGAATCCATCAGGTCCAGCCTGGAAGGAGTGGCCACGATGGACCTGACAGAAAGGCTAGGGGCATCTAGGGAATTTCTGCCCTAAGAAAGAATTGCATGTGGAAATGCAGGGATGCTGAAAATCCTAGTTCCCAGGGAGCACCAGGTTCATGGAGGGAGACCCGGCTGTGGCGCTAAAATCTGCCTCCCCAATCTTTCCCCTTGGAGAGAAAATAAGCAAGAAATGGGAATCAGAGTCACAGACTCGAATCCCAGGAGGACCAAGCCCAGGTCAAAGGTGAACAGGGACACCCTAGAGGGGCCCAGAGAGGGAGAGTCCTGCCTGCCCTTAGTCCCTTTGCACAGTACCTTCCTCTAGCCTCGCCCTCTCCACGTGCACATTTTCAGGTTTTACAGGATTTTCCCCACTTACAGTGGATGCAATTCCAGGGGCTGAATCAGAAAACAAGTTCCTCATTTGGGCAAGAGGAACTGGGAAAATGTTCCCTCGTCCTCCAAGAACAGAAAGGCAGCCACGGTCCTGGGCAGGAATTGTGCTGGGCACAGGCCAGGGCCAGCTTTTTTGCTGTTGAGGAAGGTTAGGTCTGAGCTAACATCTGCAGTGAATCCTCCTATTTTTGCTGAGGAAGACTGACCCTGAGCTAACATCCGTGCCCATCTTCCTCTACTTTATATGCAGGATACCTGCCACAGCGTGGCTGGACAAGTGTGCGTAGGTCCGCACTCGGGATCTGTACCAGTGAACCTCAGGCCACCAAAGGGGACCATGGGAACTGAACCGCTGCACCACTGGGCTGGCCCCAAGCAAGTGCTACTTTTAAAGACACCCCCGTCTCCGTGGCTGTTGTTCTGACAGAGAAAGTCCCTCCAACGTTTCAGCCCCAGGAGATCGGAGGGGCTGCTTCTGCTCTAGGACCAGGTGAACCACACTGCAATGACCCTGTCCTCTGAGTGAGGGGGACACGGGACTGTCCAGCAGCCAGGGACGGCACTGGCACTTCTCCCTTCACCACATGCCCTGAGCTGAGGACTCTGCGAGGTTTCTGAATTCAAGGAGGAATGTGAGATTCTGGATCTCATTTCCATGAGCTCAGAGAGTGAAAGAACCACACGTCCACTCCCAGGCTGAGAAAAAAAACAGAAATTTAATAGAATACTCAAACTTAGCATTTATCATTGACAACAAAAACATGGCCCCTCCAAAGAGGGAAATAGGCTCTGGGGAAAATGTGTGAGGGAGATGAGCAGATTGTCCACTGCCTTGTGGCCTTCAGGGACCCCAGGAAATGGATCACAAAGTTTTCATTCACATCAGCATCTGAGAGGTGGACCTGTGTACCTGAGTGTCCCCGCTGTGTCCCTGCTGTAGTTCAGCTGGTCTCAGGAGCGTCATCTGCCACCACCGCTGGGCTCTTTTTTGGGGGCCTGGTGTCTGGATAGAGAGAGGAATTTCCTAGGGGGCCTGCCCCAGTATCACAGCATACTCTCCCCCCTCCCTGCACCCACTGTACCCTGTGCCCCATCTGTTGGCTCAGTCAGTCAACAGCACCCCATCTGTCCCCGACACAGGGGCTGATATTTAGTGTCACCCACTTCACAGAGGAACAAACCAGTCCCAGAAATGCGAGGGGAATCGCCCGTGGCAGGACTGCTCAGCGGTGGAGCTGGGGCCCCAGCACCACAGCTGTCTGACTCCCCTGGCCCAGACTTGGCCTGAATCTGTACTGAGCCCCTGGATTTAGCCACTGCCAGTCCAGACACTCACTCAGCCCTGGGCGGGAAGATGAGTGGCTCTTCTTGTCTTTGAAGAAGAGTCGAATCTTTCTGGCCCACTGGTATCGTGGCTCCAGCTGACAGGACAGGCTGTAGCTACAGGACAGAGTGGAGTTGTTGGCTCCCAGGAGCCACGCCTGAGCTGTGCCTCCCAGAGCCTCCCAGCAGCTGGAGTCCCAGGGCCCCAGGGGTCGCCATGCAGCCAGATCTGAGGCTGACCATGGAGCCACGGCCATGGACACTGGAGCTGGTCTGCAGAGAGAGTCCGCCCTCCCCTCACCCAACTCCTGCCCCGCCTCACCTCGCCTCCTCACTCAGGGGCTCCACGGCCTGGAACCAGGCACCAAAATGCTCATTGGGCTGCACGGTGTACAGATTTGCAGCCTTCTGGACCATCTCGATGTCCTTGATGAATTTGAATTCCTGGGACAGAGGAAGGACAGGATGGAGACATGGCCTGGGTGGGGGACCCTGCAGGGCTCTTGGAGGGGGTGAGGAGGGGGACAAGGAGCCAGTATGGGGCCTTTGCCAACTTGGGAACTCTCCTTCCCTGCAATTCCAGTCAGGACGTGCCTGTTCTCACAGTTGGCCCGAAATAGATCCTCTACCAGGAAGGGGTCATTGATGCCAGCCCTTCCCCTACCCGCCAACGCCATAGGATCCCAAGCTCTGTATATCAAACTCTGCAAATAAATGTCCGACCCCAGGGATTGAGCTAGAGGGCTTGTTATGAAAGGGGGGCTCTCTGATTCCCACACACCCACACTCACCACAGTGAGGCCGCAGCTCCTTACCTCATTCCGACAGCTGAGCACATTCCCCTGGAAGGCAGACAGCCAAAGTCCATCAGAAACAGCCCCCTTAGCCCAGAACTAGCCCCCATCCCACCTCTTCCAGTGTTGCACTGCTGCCAGTGGGCAGGCCCTTCCGGAGACCGGACTTGGACCTGGGCCAGGCTCTGGGCTCCAGACCTTGGGGCAGAGGAGCTGAGACCTTGTAACCTAACCCTCTCTGATGACACATGGGGAGACTGAGGCCTCAGGCAGGAAGGGACAGCTCAGCCACTGATGTGCCTCCTGACTGGGAGGGGCCCGACTTCTCTTCCCTCACTGGTAGGGCCAGAGGGAGACGCTGAGTCCAGCTCAGACACCACCTCCTGCGGCCACACAGCCAGGCAGCTCTGAGCCTCAGCAGCCCAGGGAGCCTGGATGGTGGCCTAGGCAGAGCCTCCCATCACTCGTTGCTGAGATGGGCCTGATGCCCTGGCTTCCACAGGAGGCTGGGAGGCTCTGCAGAGAGGACCTTTCCAAGTGTGAGAGCTCAGGGCTCAGGCAGGACTCTCTCCTCCCAAACCCTCAGGAGCCTGATCCCAGGGCCCCACCTCCAGGCTCACTCACCTCCACATAATAATCTGTCTCATCATGCAGCAGCTCCAGGTAACTGAAGATCATCTTGAGGGAGGGGATGACACCCTGCTCCATCAAGGTGGGTATGGTGATGAGTTCCAGCACTCAGGTGCCCCCATGAAACCTCCCCTGAAACCCCTTACCCCAGCCACCTGCCCACCCCTGGCTCCCACGTACAGTAGCCTAGGACCCTCAGGAGCCCCCACCACACACGATGCCCTCCTCCCCTCCCCTCCAGGAACACCAAACTCCCCCAGTCACGTCCCAGGGCTGGGTGTGGGCCAATCCCAGGGGGTGTGGCCCCTGCCCCTCCCCACCCCAAAACCATCTTGCTCCCAGCCCTTCCAGGCCTCCTCCTGCTCACTGCCAATGCAGGCACTTCAGGCTCGGCAGCCACAGCAGATGCGCTGGAGGAGGAAGGCCCCTCTCCTGAGGGAGGCCTCTAGCTGGGAGGGGGCGCCCCCTCTCCTCTGACTCCTGGGCACCTCCCCGCCAGGCACCCTCACCTGCTGCCGCCGCCTCTCCCGGGCTCTATGGCGGCCCCTCTATGCACTGACCAACACGGAGGTCGCCTCCTGTCAGTGCCGAGGACAGGGTCAGAGAGGCCCTGCTCCCTTTCGCATGTCCCTCAAGGCCCCTGACCTCAGACCCTGGCCATCTGGCTCCAGTCCCCTGCTGCCTATGCTGTTCCCACCTCCAGGGTGCTCTGATTCTAGACCAGTCTTGGCTCCAGGACTCACTCTTGTCTGACCTTGGGCCTGCTCAGGCCTCCCTGAGACTCTTTCCTCATCAGGAAAGAGTGGGGAGAACTCCACCTGCCTCCAGGGCTCTCCTGAGGACTCCCTGTCATCTGACTGTCATCACTGCTCTCCCCTCAGCTCTCGAGGAGGAGCCAGCACGAATCTCCTCCCATTCCTGTCCTCCCTTGGACGGTATCACCCTGCCGTAAGGCCTGCACCACGTCATCTCCCCCCATTTCCCAGAGGAGGAGACCGAGGCCCACAGAGGGGTAGAGACTTGCTCAAGGACCCACTGAGGAGAGGCCACTCTCCCTCCCAGCCAGAGTCCCTGTCCCCACTGCCTTCACCCCTCGCCCTGCCCCACCACTGACCACCGTCCTGACCTCTGCACTCCCAGAGTGTGTTCCAACAATAGACAAACTGAGACATGGAGGGAGAGGGCAGAGGGTGTTGGTGGTGGCCATGCGGCATCTCCTCCCTGCCCCACCGACAGGGGTCTCTGAACCCCAGGATGGTCTTACCATAGCCTCACTTCCTAGGATGCCCTCAGGATGTTCCCGGCCCCCTCTCACACCCCTTCTCCCAGATCTCCAGCCCCAGGTTACCTTCAGGAACAGTCTCTTGCTCACATGCTGCTGTCCCCTGCACCACTTCTTAAAGGTGTAGGATCTCTCCCTGGGGGAGTGGGGAAAGAAAGAAAGAAAGAAAGATTATGGGGTGGTTGAAGGGCAAATCCCGTTTGTTTGAGATCCCAGAAGACCCAAACAGCCTGGGGCCTGGATGAGGGATTTCACTGGGTTTCTCTGAGCCCCAAGGTCCCCATGGGACTGGGGAGGGGCCTCTCCTGTTGTCACCTGGGGCCTCCATTCCCATATCTACCACACAGATCTGTTTTGAACACTCTTGGTTTCAGTTGGATGGAGATTTCTGTTGCTGCAAAGGAAACACTTGAGAATCTCCAACTGGGCTCAAGTCAGGATCTGATATTGAAGGAAATGAGTTCCTGGGCAGAACCGCTGGCCTAAGGGCCCTGAGAGGCTCAGGGACCCAGGAACCAGATTAGTCCATGTCCCAGGCATTAACTGTCTCCCAGGTGGTCTCAGCTGACTGCGGGGGCCATGGCCACCCAATGCCGGGTGCAAGGTCCACCTCCCCCTCGTGGTGCTTGGATGGAGAGCAGCCTACCCAATTGGACACTCATCCCCAGGTGTCTTTGAGATGCTTAATGGCAGGGCTCTGCAGAGCAGAAAGGATCATTTGGAAGGATGTGAAATTTCTGAGGCCTAGGCACCCCTAGGGAAGGGAAGAGATTGAGCTGTGAGTGGGAGCTGGAGCTCTCCAGCTCTGGATTCTGTCCCCTCATGGACTTCTCCTGTTCTGGATGAGACAGATGCCCAGGAAACCCAGGGAGGACACACCTGGGACCTGAGGAGTAACACTGTCAGGCACAAGGATTTTTAGCTGAACACAAGGAAGGAGCACAGGAAGGAAGTGAGCTTGCCACCACCAGGACCTCAAGTCAAGGTCAGTGTGGCCCTGGCAGGAGTGTCTAGGGCCAGTGCAGGGACTCAGACCACAGACTTCAATATCGACAGCTGAGAAACAAGAGGCAATTCCCATGACTCCAGACAGGGTCTCCATGGGCCTCCCATGACTTACCTTGGGCACATGAATCCACAGCTCCACCATCCTGGCCCTGTCCTGCGCTGTCATGCCCAGGGCCCCAAGGCATGTAGCGATGACACTGTTGGCCAAGGTGTTCGTGTGTGCCACAGTGTCACGGATGGTGGGTGCCAGGTACTTGTGGTCCCTGCTGTCTCGCTGGGACCAGATGGAGCCCAGGCAGTGGGCAGGCACCAATTTCTTGAACAGCTCCTGAGGAAGATTCAGAGTGTTGCCAGCTCTGCCTCACACCAGCTCGGCATCCGTGGTCCTCCACAGTCCCAGGCTGGTTGAGGACAGAGCGGGAGCTCAGGAAGCAGAGGATGTGATCTCTGAGGTGTGTGGGATTCCCTGGGTTTTGTCTGTGTCCACTGAAGGTGTCAGCACAAGATGACCCGGGACACAGTGCTGTGCAGAAGGGAGGGCATTTGCTCCCAGCCCCATCTCACTTCCTACAAGCTCCGGAAAACAGCTCTCACCGGCCCAGCCCAAGGGACATCTTCCACCCATCGCAGTCCCCCTCGGGTCCCACTCCCCATTCCCATGCACATTACCCCGAGGCAGGGAGAAGCACTGGCTTTATGTGATTGTCTCCGCTGGAGTCAGTACACATCACATGCCTGATGTGTGCTGAGGATTTGAAGGCCCCCTGGGCACACACGTGATTGGCCCAAGGACCTGGCAGCATTTCAGTGAGCTCCCTCCTGCACCAAAGGGCCAGACCCTGCCCAACTTCCTCTCTGTTCCACCTCATTCATCGGCACAGCCACCCCATGCAGCAGGTGACCTTAGTGTCTGGCTCTGCTGTGCACGTGGGGACAGCGAGCGCTTGGGGTAAAGAAAGTGCCCAAGTCGCAGTGTTGGTAACGGGGGAGCAGGAATGTGGACACAGATCATCAGACTTTGGATCAGGTAATGGCAGGTGTGGGGCAGCTCATGGCACACGAAGGTAGGGCCCCCCTGCCCTGCAAGCCCCGCTGCTCACCGCCTCCATCCTTGTCAGCTGCTCTGCCACCAGCCGGGGAGGGAAGTCCAAGATGTTCAGCTTCTCCTCCCTCAGCTGGTTTTCGGCGGTCACGGCCCAGGGTCCAGTGGGCTCTAGTTCAGGAGCTGGCACTGGGGCTGAAGTTAATGGTGGCCCTTCCTCCAGCCCTGTAGGGTCCGATGCAGGTGACGCTGGCTCCAGCTCTGCCACGGGTGGTGGGGCTGGAGCTGGAGATGACTCTAGCACAGGGGCTGGTTCTGGCTCTGGCTCTGGCTCTGGATGTGGCAGGAGCTTTGGAGCTGGCTCTGCAGCAGGATAAGGAGAAAGTTTCACCCACACACCTGACAGTTTCTGTGCCTTTCCAAAGACAGGAAGGACTCCACTGCCTTTAAGGGAACTCTAGCCCATGAACCTCAACACAGACAGTCTTCTCAGACTCCAGTCCCCTCACCTTTCTGTTTGGCCTCAATGGCCTTGAGGTGCTCCAGGTGGCCTGGCAGAAGGTAGGCATGGCCCTCCACATGTAAGCCACCAAAGCTGACGTGCAGAGTGGCCAGCTGCAGGGTCCAGCATGGAAACTGTAGGGGCTCCCTTCAATCCTGCCCTTGGCCCAGCCAGGTTCCCAGCAGGAAATAGCACTGCGGGGAGGCAGATGGGCCAGAGAGTCAGTGGCCCAGCCTTTCCTTAAACACGACCCTCCCAAGGCACTCTTGTTAGCATCTGGGCCCCTGTGCCATCCCCTCCCCCTCCAGAGGAGGGGCCCATCCCAGCCCTTAGCCCCGGCTGGCTGTCCTGGCAGTGGCAGGCCTGCTCATCCAGCAGGCTGAACACAGAGTCTGTGAGAGTCTCTTGTTCCCACCGACACTCTCCTCCCCAAGGGTCTGGACACAGCCCACCCCAGCCCTCCATGCAAATGGGCCACTGGAATGAAGACTCCAGCAGATCTGTGAGCAGCTTTCTCATGCACCTCCTACTATGGACCTGGTGGTGGCGCTCACAAGGGGTGGATGTGGAGAAAGGGAGGCAGAAAGAGCTGGGACTCTGCTGGGATTGGGTCTCTAGGAGGCAACTCAGCCCAGCCTCCCTTCCGGTTCTCAGGGGGCCTGGGACCCATGCATAGCTCTCTTTGAGTCCAGTCCTGCTGGAGTGGAAGCCACCAGAACTCAGCCTTCCCATGGGAATCACAAGATGGGTGAAATGCAGGGTTCTCCCAGGCCTGCGCCAGCCACAGCCTCCATCCTCTCCCCGCACCCTGTTTTCTAGAGACAGGAGGCCCTCTGTCTGCACCCAAAGACCACTCACTTTGGGAGGTGGTGCTGTCCTCCAGCATCCAGCACACAATGGGCCAAGCTGCCTCCATGTGTCCCAAAGGGGATGAGGGCATCGGCCGGGATGGAGGGTAGATGGGACCTAGGAATGATGTCAAGCGTGACTGACTCTCAGATTAGAGAGGAGGCCCAGTGAGGCTGTCTGCTTCATTTATTGAGTGACACTTAGTGTGTCCAGATGCCCTGCACACAGTACGTCCTTCATAGACATTGTTAAATGAACTCCAACCAGAACCACCCCAGGTGTCTGAGTAGGCCTGTGGCCCCTCTGTGACCCTAGAGATCCCTAAGTGGCTACACCAAGGACAAGCACCAGGACCAGCTGGATGGCATCTCAAACTCCTTGACAGGGTGCTCTCCAGGTGTTTTTCCAAACTCAAAAAGCCACAAGCCAGTGAAGGGAGAGGAAGACTACTTTTCATGGGGGGACAGAGAAATAATCACCACCAGCAACCACAGCATGGCCCACCACCCTCTCTGCAGAGCCAGGCACCAGGGAAGCACCTGGATGGCTGATCCCATTCATCCCTGGGAGAAGCCTAGCAAGTTCATCCTCTGCCACTCCACATTTCAGAGGAGCCAACTCAGGCTCAGAGAGATGTGGTGACATTCCCAAGACAAGACACACAGCTGGCAGTGGGCAGAGTCACCACTGTGCTGAGGAGGAGGTGGGCAGTCACCTGGGAAACAGCTGGTCCAGCACCTGGTGGGCTGTGCTGGAGCCTGAGTAGCTGCAGAGGGAGGTGATGACACTGCAGAGGACTCTGCTGGGGAAGGCTGGCACCACAGACTCTGAGAGCCTCTGCATCATGCCTTCCTGGAGGGCACACATCCTGCAGGCCTCAGTTACAGACAGAGTGGACTCATCTTCACTCTGGGTGGGATGAGGAGGACACAGGGTCAGGGCCATCACTGCAAACCACAAGGATTATCAAGGTCTGCAGCTGACTCAGGAACTCCTAGCCCCTCCCAGACGTGTGCAACAGGAGAGACAGGGGCTCCCACACTCAGCAAGGCTCTGGGCTTTCAAAGTACAATCAGACTTTGGGCCTGCAAAGGATTCCACATTGAGCTCCCTCGAGGCCATTTGCTCCACTGAGGGACAACAGACCTCCCTCTGTGAAGAGCACCAGCCCAGTGAGTCCTCAACAGACACGCCCTCTCTAGAGAGGAGAACAGAGGCTTAGGCATGCCAAGTGGCTTCTCTAGGTCCTGTGGGTCAGAAATGAGAACCGCCCAAACTGGGGGCTGAGGGACATCCCCTCTAACTGCCTGAGGCTTCATCGGACCCTGACCCGGAGGGAAATGTTATGTGGCCACCTCACCCCTCCCAGGTCTGGAAACAGTGTACAGGGCAGTGACACGTTCTGAGAATCCCTTCGACTTCCAAAACACGCTGATGGTTATCTCTCTTACATTAAAGGGAGTTTGGAGACCCTCATTATCGAGGTTCCATTTTCCAAAAAAGGCAAAATTCAAAGATACTCAGGGCCTATTGGGAAGTGACAATGACATCAACGTTTTCTCTAATCTTCCTAGGGAAATGCAAAGAGTGCCCTCCTATCCTCCTATGCAGCTGGTTGGGAGAAGCGGAAGTCCAGATTCCTTTGGGAATGGGACTGTGGGACACTCATGCGGGACAGCCCTGTTAGAGTCCCAGGAGAACGGCAGTTTGAGGTTGGATTCTGGGCCGGCCCTGGTCATCTCAGGGGCCTGGGTGGGAAGACCCCTCCGTGCCCACTCTCACCTCAGAGCAGACCTGCTTATTGATGGTGGTGCGGTGCAGCTGGCCCCTGTCCAGGGAGATGGAGTACCCGAAGCCATCCGCCAGCTCTTCCACCACCTCCTGTGTGCAGCTCTGCAAAGACAGTGCCCGAGAGGTGGGCCAGGAGGTCTCAGGGGCCTGCCTCGACTTAGCCACAAGGAGGAAACCCCAGCACAGATCAGGTACCGAGCAGCATTTGCATAGACCTCCAGCCAGGGAGGGAATGAGATGACAACCGGATGGCTCGGGACTAACCTATGGGTAGAGGAGCTTGGTTCCCAGCACCCACTCTCCCATCCTGCTAGCCATCACCTAGGCTGGGAACATGACACACTGCCAGGCTTCCAACACCGAGCAAACGGCTCCTACCCAGGGTGGGTCCCCGCTCTTCCCCGCCATCCCTCACTCACTCCCCTCCGGCACACAAGTAGGCTCAAAGGGGTGTGGGGGTGGCATCCAGTTGTGGCCTAACCCGGTTGGCTTTCCCTGTGTTACCTGAGTGCTCCTCCTGCCAATTGGACAGAGGTGGTGCAGGTGAGGGCCAAGCCAGTGTCTATAGTGACTGAAAAGGCTCTTTTTCTTGGCTTTCCTGAAGCCAGAGCCTCCACAACTCGGGAGACAGCAGGAGAACATCCTCTTGTCTTCAGTGTCGCCACTCAAGTGGGCTCGATAGGATGCTATGTCTAGAATGTGGGCGCCTGGAGACCAGTGTGCTAAGTTCTGTTGGGGTCTGTCTCCAAGGAAGTAAGGTCACTTCCTCAAGGTTCCCTTACCTGGGCCCCTTCCTTCAATCATACCCACCGAAAACCTCTCTGGGATCTTGGCTGCTCACCGTCCTTGCCCATGTCACCTCCAGAACTGTACACAAATAGCCAGCACAGATCCCAACACAGGACCTTGAGATGGAACCAGGGTTCCAGCTTGAGGACATGTAGCTGAGTTCCGACCTCTTTTTTCCTACAAGCTCTGTGTCCTGGAAATGCCAATGGGCCTCCCAGGGCCTCCTCAATCACCCAACCTGCACGATGGGGATGAGGCCAGAAATATCTCCCTCGGGGCATCCTCAGGTGTAGAAGAGACAATAGCGACAACACCTGTGGTCTGGTTTGCATGTGTCTGATGCACACACTTAGAGATGAAAGAATGACAAGAAAGGGTGGGATGTAGTGTGGAGTACCCCTCAAAACAGGCCTGAGTTCCAGCTCTGTGACCTTGAGAAAGTCACTGCCCCTCTGGGCCTCATTTCCAGGTCTGCACCTTTAAGAGGTGGAAATTAGGGGAAATTCAGATATTTCCATTCACTGGCATGAACCTTGCACTGTCTCCTGTTTGACTTAGAATCAGACCCAAGTGCCTCGTGTCGGCCTATGTGGTGGGCAGCCTCCACCATGGCTCCCAGTGCTCACTGCCTTCTGCTGTGCACGTCCTTGTGGAACCACAAGTGGTCAGGAACTGCCTTCTGAAGAGAATGCAGCCAAGGTGATGGGATGGCCTGCAACCCAGGGCTAAGAACAAAACACCTGGCCCTTCCTTCTTACTCATTGGCTTTAGTCCCCTCCCTCTTTCCCTCCTTCTGTTTCCATCTCTCTCTCTCTGCATCTTATATCTCAGGAACTGGGGGAGCAAGTGTGCATGGTTTCAGTTGTCCTATGAAGATGCTCCATAGGAGAGAACGGAAGGAATGATCGGCCAACAGACAGGCAGGAACTCAGACTTTCAGTCCAAACAAACCCCGTCAACATGCATGTGAGTGAACTTGGGAGCAAACCCTCCACGAGTCAAGCCGCAATAGAGCCGCAGCCCCTGCTTCACAGAGACCTTGAGGCAGAGGCACCCAGCTAAGCTGTGCCCCATTCCTGGCACACACACTTTGTGAGATGTTAAGGATTTGTATTTTCTAGGTGCAATATCTTAGAGCCGTGTCATCAGAGAGTGACAGGAAAAGCACAGTCTGCCAGTTCCTGCCCTCTGGCCCTGCCTGTCCCCATCTGCCCTCCTCTCTCTTCTCAGGCTCCTTCCAGCTACTCCTCCATCTTTCGGACATTGTCTGGTCAGACCCACTTCTTCGTGTGAGCCTCTGCGCCAGCGGTGCCTTCTCCCTGACACTCAAACTGTTCCCAGACACAGGCCGGCGTGCCTCTCATCTGGCACCCTGCTCACAGCAAATGTCACCCCTATGATGCCATTCAGAGCCTCCCAGGCACAGGCTCCACTGTCACAGGTCTCCAACCTGCAAGGGCATCTCATGATGTCCTCCTTCTTGGTCTCATCTGGATAAAGTGAGTCCATGAAGGAGGGCTTTCTGCTTGGCGGACGAGGAGGCAGCTTCTTCCGGTTTCCTCAGGATCATGACTGTCTCTTCTGGGCTGAATGTTTCCCCTCCCAAGTCCATTGTGAAAGGAAACTCTCATTCCCTTGCTTTCAAGGGTCTGGTTTCCCCAAGAACACAGGGAGACTCCCCTCTCCCTGGAATGCAGCACCAGCCCCTACACCCAAAGCCTGAAAATTAGCACCCAGCTTGAAACACCACAAGATCCTGAAGTCAGTTCCTGCTGAGGCCCCCCATCCATTTTTTAACCCCATGGTAACTCCTGAGCTCACCTTTCCCCTGAGACACAGCTCCCAGCCTGCCCTTGGCTTCTTACAGGAACAGTGGGATTTCCCAGAAGCACTCCCAGCCTGGGCAAGAAATGTTTTGAAATCTTCTATATGTATTTTCCAGGACATGGGATATGGGGAGAAGTCATTTTGGTTGTGTATATGCAACAGTTTTGATGCGAATAGCATCTTTTTCAGACAGAGATCAAAATGTGGGGCTACCGGGTGTAACAAGAAAATGGATACGCTGAGCCATTGTCTTCATGGTGTGAAGTCTTAGAGAGCAAAGAACATGGTTAAAAGCAGAGAATATGGAGCCAACATCTTATGTTCAAATTCCACCTCAATCACTTCCTAGATACTGGTAGAGGGCAAAGTACTTACTTCATTGGTGCCTCAGTTTCTTCATCTGTTGTTGGCAAGAAGGATAAGCGTACCTAATTTGTGAGGATATGGAGAGTGCTAAAGGAGTTAATGTTTCAAAACACTTGCAACATCCAGCACATTGCATGCCCTGTACACATACATTATAAATGAAATGTAAATGCTCTTCTGACGCTATCTGTTTGCTCCAGACAGGAGACTAGGGGCTGGAAGGATGTAGACAGCACTCCCTGAGACAGGATGAATCAATGAATGAACAACACTGTTGAAGGCATTACCAATGGCAGATCCGCCTCCCTATGGACATTCCCAAGCACAATCACACCCAAGCATTCCTCCTCTGTCCTGCATCATCTTCTGGGATTCTATCCAGGAATCACGGGGGCTTCTTGAACCCTGGGACCCACACCCACCACAGGTTCTCTTCTCTCTGGCAGCAAACCCCAGGCCTTGTCCTAATGGCTGAAGCCCACAGGCTCTGAACTCAGATCCTTTTCTTCACTTGAGGGAGAAGTGTCATTCCAAGAGCTGGGCACACAGAGTGTCAGCCTTGGAGGAAATGCCTCCTGGGCCAGTGGCTGGTGGAAGAGCGCCGTGATGGAGTAGGATTTGGGGAGAGTCCTCCAGGTGTGGTCAGAAGGGGCCCAGCCAGGGCATTTGTCAGCAAGGTCTGGTTGGTGGACCTTGGTGGCAAAAGAGTGGTGGGGGCAGCATGTTTTAGAGGTCCTGGCATGAGACAATCCACAGGATGGTCATGAAGTCAGAATCAGCCTAATGAGGTCCAACTCAATCCACTGTTATCTGTTCCCTGACTGGCTCCCTAATCCAGGAGTGATTTACAAGGGCGATATTCGTGTTCTACCATCTTTTCGTTGATTGGCAGGAGCTAGTATTCTTTACAAAACTTGTGTATTTTTACATAGGAAACGATAGGTGAGTTCTGTAACAACCCTTCTTGCAAAGTTCTCACTAACATACTGAGTGTCTAACAGAATCCACCGCTGGGAACTTCACAAAAGATCCTGACCTTTACTGTCTGGTTTTAGATCTTCCTGATTGGTAAATTTTCTTGACTCCTGGCTCCTTTCCTGAGGTTCGTCCACTTAGAACAATGTAGGACTGCAACCTCTTGCCACTTGAGAAGTAGTGGTTCAACTCTATGATGATGTTGGTCTTGCTTTCTAAGTGTGTGTGTGTGTGTATGTGTGTATGAGACTGTTTTCTGCATCTTGCCACGTGGGTCAGATTGACTCCTTTCCTTGGAAAAATTGTCCCTAACCACTTTCTCTGGGCTTTATTTTCATGTCTTGAACAGTGCTGTCCAACAGTAGAATTTCACACTCTATCTTATGAAATTTAAACTTTTTAAAAATACATTTAAAAAAGTAAAAATAAGCAAGTGAAACTAATTTTAATAGCATATTTAAACCCATTATAACCAAGATATTACCATTTGTCCAGGCAATCTATATAAAAATTAATAGTGAGATAGTTCACATTTTTTTTATTGGGATCAACAAATCCATTTACATAGTCTCCGTTTGTAAGTTGAAACTTTTTACATATGTGGTTTCTGTGTCCCCCACTCAGAACCTGGGCTGACTTGTTAGAGAGGAAATAAAGCAGAACAGGCATAAGTAACGATCACTGTCAATCCAACTCAGCATGAACACTCACCACTGACAAAAAGGCTGTCCCTGACCAGGGAGTAGAGGCCCCTCGGGGTGACATGGTGGATCAGCTGGTTCAGCACCCAGGAATGCTGCTCTCTGTCACATGGGGTCTCTGTCACACTCTCCATCATGAGCCATGGGGTCAGGGTGGTAGGTGCAGACAGCTTCCATGCTGGAGGCTGCCCCTTCCTCCGCAGGCCCGGGGAGAGAGGAATGTGGGGACTCTAGAGAGATGTCCTGAATCCTCTGATAATGGGGGCCAGAGGGAGGGAGGAGCAAATTGGCAGTCAGTGGGAAGAGTGAAAACTGGGGTGGTCACCGAAAGTGTTCATGACTCTTAGATGCTCAGAAAAGGGACTGAGGGAGATCAGTCTACAGCCCAAGACAAGGGGCCCAGGCTGCTCTTCTTGAACAAGGATCCAAGCTGGGGAGAAGGCAGGAGGAGGACGAGCAGGAGAGACAGCAGGTGGGGTGCGGCTGGCTGGGACTCATCCTGCCAGGAGCTGCTGGCACCAGGGTCCCATCAGGTGCTGCAGGACTCTCTCAGTGGAGTTCAATGTGGCTGAGCCCTTGCTCATGTCTGTCAAATACTGGATGTTGGAGATAGTGGAGTTGAGTGTGAAGGCCTTCAGGTCGTGCCCCTTGGCTGCAAGAAGAGAGGGAGAGAGATGGCCATCACTGAGAGCTGGGCTGAGACCAGATCAGAGTCCTGAACTCAGTATCATCTGTTGCCTTTGCTCCCAGTGGAACCACCACCCAATGCTGTGCTCATCCAAGTTGAAGCCAGCATATCTCTCAGCTCCTCCTCCCTCACCTGCCAGTAACACCAATTGCACTTACAGATTGCTCCTCAATGCGTTCCTTCTGTTCATTCACGTCCCAGGTAGGTCTGATCTTTTCTCACGGGAACCAACACCCTAACATGCTCACTGGATGCATTGTCTAAAGGATGTTCTCTGCCTTGAACATTAGAAGCATTTTTCTGAAATGAAGATCTCACTAGAACACTCCTGCTCTAGCATCACCCATGGCTCCCTAAGCCCTTCAGGGTTAAGTTCAAACTTCTTGACCTGACACTCAAAGCCCTTGCACATCTGGCTCCTGCTGACTCTTCAGCCTCATTGATGCATTCACTCTGAGTTAGGCTTTGTGCTTCAGGCAAACCAAATTCCTGTCACTTCTCCCGTACACTATGCTGTTTTTGCCTACAGGGCCATTGCTCATGCAATATCCTCTGCCAGGAACACGCTCCACACCTTATTTCCCTATATAACTCCTACTCCTTCTTAAAGACCCCAATTGGGCAAAACTTCCTCCAGAGAGCCCTTCCCACCCAAAGGATGCCAGGTGCTTCTCCTCAAAACATCCCACCTTGTATTAGAATTTTCTGTGACTTTCACAAGACCAGGGGCTCTCTGAGGGCTGCATCAGATTGAAATATTGGTATAATCCTTGCGATCAGCATGCTTGCCCTCAAAGCAGAATTGCACACCTCGGCTTCCCAGCTGCCCAGTAAGAATTGGTCAGTTGAGGTGTGGGGCTGGAGAGCTCCTCTGAGGAAGGAAGAGGGGCCCCCTAGGCCTGTGGTAGCTTCTGGTTGCTCAAGCAATGAGGAAGTAGGCAGGAACATCCTGCCTGGCTCAGGAGCTGTGGAAAGGGCTGTCGTCTGGGAGAGACAGAGACCCCACAAAGTGGGTGAAGCCCCACAGGCTCATCTGCACTCCAACAGTGGCTGTCCCAGGACAACCATTCACAGATGAGCCATAAATGTGAGTGACAGAAGGAGGGATTGTGTGAGTAGAGGGATGTTCGAGCCTGTGAGGGAGATGAACCCAAGAGAGACAGTGTGCTTGAAGAAGAGAGAGACACAACAAAGAGATAGGTAGAGGCACAGATAGAGGGGATACCTGGAGGGACAGAGGAAGAGCGGACAAATGGAGGGTCACAGGGAAAGCAGGAAGAACAAAGACAAGGAAGAGAAGTTGAGAGATGGGAGGAAAGAGGATGGAAGGAGAGAAGAAGGACAAACAGGCTAACAGGCAGGAGGACAGTTGGACAGATTGATACCTGGACAGATGCTCGGGTGGATAGATGGAAGGAAGGAAGGAAGGAAAGAGTGGAGGGAGGGAGGGAGGAATGAAGGATAGAAGGAAGAAAGGAAGGAAGGAGTCTGAGAGGAGGGAGAACTGGGAAAATCACCTGCCCAAGTTCACAGGGTGCTTTAAAGGGAGGTTAAGGCTGAGAATACAGGACCCCTAACTCCCAGGCTTGTGTCCACCTGTCCCAATGCTACCTGTTATTACTCGTAGAGATGAGCATATGGATGTAAAAGAAACCCTGAGCCCTACCCTCACAATACACAAAACTCAATTCCTGGACACGTTGACCTAAAGGGGAAAGGTAAAATAATGAAACTTCTAGAAGACAACAAGAAAACATCCTCGGGACCACAGGGTAGAAAAAACTTCTCAAAGAAGACACACACACACACTCTCCATAAAAGAAATATCGGTAAACTGGGATTCATTAAAATTTAGGCTTTCGGTTCATCATAAGACACATTACAAGAGGGAATTTGCAAGTCACAGGATGCGAAGAGATTGTCCCAGTTCCAATATTCAACAAAGGATTCACATGCAGAATGCAGAAAATCTTCAGCATATTTATTAGATAAAATACAGTGAAAGAGATACATATTAATGCTGGTTATTTTGATGAACCACATTTATTTTACAAGGACAGTGAACAAAGCAATCTGAAAAGCAGGGGGTGAAAAATGAACAGTAGATAAACAGAATCCCAGGAGGGTTTGGAAAAAGCAATAGAAGCCCCTTACATAACAGTTCATTGGCCTTAAAAAAGGAAAGTACTACTGGATTCTGTTAGGAAGTCAGAAAGATTGAAATATCTAGTGCCTTCAGTGGAAAAATAAGACAGGAAAAAATAACTATGATAGTTATTTGATTTTCCTCCAAATGACTTTATCCCTTAGAGAGCAAGGCACTTTCCTTTTCAATCATCAACACATCAAAGTTTAATTTCCCTTCATTTAGCCTTTTTTGTGGCCATAGGTTAGAAGCAGCAAAGGGGCTCAGCAGGCTGAACCAGTCTGCAGACATACTCTGTCCTGTTCCACACTGGCTCACACACGTGCAAAGTGGGCACTTCTCACAGGGGAAAAGCCTGCAGGGCTGAGGGGCAGCCGCCCCTTGGACCCTGTTTGTTAGTACCATTGGAAATTTCTCCTGAGTCCCTACTCAAAAAGGAAGTGGGTGGGGGGTAGAATAAGAAGGCCATATATTTGAAGGAAATAGGAGAAAATATTTCATTGTGAGAGTAATAAATATTGCTTTTCAGAAGTCATGTGTATGTTGAAAGTCTATGTCTTAAGGTACCACAATGAAACAATGTACACCTCATCTTCTCCCTCTTTTATCTGAGCATAAGGTTAAAATCCATGAAATTCCTAAGCTTAAAAAAACACACAAAAATCACAAGGAAAGTTTTGGAGGTCATGGATGTGTTCAGCACTTGGTTGTGGGGATGATATGATAGGTGTGTGCATATGTCCAAACTAATCAATACACATATAGAAAACGTGTGCATTTTTTGTCTATTACTCATACCTCAACAGAGCTAAAAATTAAAATAAATTCCTAAGTTTACTTTTTGAGGGTGTATAAAAGTCAAAATTTCTAATAAAATTCAGATTGTTAATTTCTGAACATAAATAGCATTCCTGCTTTGATGGGTGACCCCACAGCTCTCAAAAAAATCAAGAGCAGTTGCTACTGTCAATCTCAGTGGAAGTTATTTTCAACACCTCACCCCCTTCTTTACACTTCATTATTTAAAAACCAAGGAAATAGTCTTCAGCTTTTAAAATGAAGGAGTAAATGAGTCAGCTTGACATTATACTTTATTCAAGATTTAATGTTAAGTAAAGGAAATAACTGAGCATGAGCAGAATCCCTTCCATAACTCATCTTTTCTCCTATGCAGATAATAAAAATGACACTCTACTTAAACATAGTTTGTATGATATATTCTCAAGTAAATATACTTAACTGCTGGACATTTGATTTCTTTTTTTTCTTTTTTTAATCAATAATTTACACAAAAAAATCAATTTAGGAGATAAAACGTATTGCTATTTAGAATTACTTCCTGATTGTAAATTACTAGAAGTGTAAACATGAAGTCAACGCTAAGGACGTTTTAAGTCCTTTAATTCATTTTGCCAAATTTCTTTTTTAGAAAATAATGTTAATATAGGACTTTAAGTTTGAGAAACCTGTTTCATGACACCCTAATCTGTTGAAGGATAATTTTGAGATTCTTATTCAATTTCTTCATATTCATCTATAAAACTTATTTGGCCTCTTTCATCTTTTTAACATTTTCATCTTTTTAACTTTTGAAGGTTTAACTTTCCAAGAGATGATTTTTTAATGACGAGCTAACTGGTGAATTTGTGCACCGACTGTTTTTTTGAGACTGAATATACAAATGGACAAAGGCCAGATCATATATGACAGTATAACTCTGACCCCCAACGTGGGGAGCAAACGTCCCAAGAAGCCACATCACAGTCCCTGCAGCATTCAGCACAGAACAGTCAGCACTTGGTCAGTAACTGCCAGTTTCCAAAACTCTCGTTCTGCTTTCAGCACAGGACCGCCAGAGAAAGCCACGTATGCTCCCTAAACCATCACATAGGATGCCTGCCTTCTACTTAGTGAGCTCCAGCTTCCCCATGTGAACAACTTCCAATCAGGCCACCCCTCCCCCACTCCCCTGACCTCTGCCACCCTCTCCCCTCCCTTTCCCTTCTCTCCTCTTCTTGTACATGCAACAATCCTCTCCTGTCGCATTACAGTCTCTGCAATATTTTTAACGTGTGATAGAGCAGCTCCTCCCTCAGAGTTCTTCCTGGTCCATATTTTCCTAGCTTAGCTTATGCGTTTATTTTTTCCATGTAGGATCATTTATCTAACTCAACATAACAGCTCGTTAAATTTTTTATTGGCATTATATTCAATTTATAAAGTAATGGGACTGACCATTTAATGAAACTTCGTAACTTAGAACATAGACTGACTTTGCATTTGCCAACTATTTTTAATTGAAATTTATAGTGTGATCGTTGTAGATTCCACACTGCTGTAAGGAATAACTCCAAAAGTTCCAGTGTACACTTTACCCGGTTCCTTACAATGATAACATTCTGCAAAACTATAGGACGATACCACAGCCAGCTTGTTGGCATTGATATAATCCACTATCTTATTCAGATTTCTCCAGTTTTACTTGTACTAATTTGCTCCTGTGTATTTAGTTCTGTACAATTTTATCAGATGTGCAAGTTTGTGTATCCATCACAGCTAAAATAATGACTAGTTTTATCACCACAAGGTATTCTTGGATTGCCTATTAAAAAATAAATGGATGTTATTTTTTAGAGCAGTTTTACGTTTACAGCAAAATTTAATGAAATATACAGTGTTCTCATATAGTCCCTGCCCCCACATATGCATAACCTTTCTGTTGTCAATACCCCTCATCAGAGTAGTATACTTTTCACAATTGATGAACATACATAGGCACACCATTATCACTCAAAGTCCATAATTTACATTAAGGTTCACTCTTGGTGTCAGAGATCACTAGGGTATAACTCTGTGGTCCATTTCTGGATTCTCTACTCTGTTCCATTGATTTATGTAGCTGTCCTACAATGAAAATGATGATGCTGTGATTACAGTATCTACAAGGCAATACTAAATATCGTTAAAGTGTTTACTGCCTCATTATTCTTCCTGTCATGATTGTTTTAGCTACTCTCAGCTATGTGCCTTTCTATATAAATTTTAGAAAAAGGTGTCTATGTCTACAAACTGTGGTGGAATTTTTATTAGAATAATATTAGACCTATAGATCAATTTGGGGATAATTGAGACCTGTACTCATTATTCTATCCAGTAACATGGTGAGGACTGCAGAATTCTCAGCACATAACAACCCCTTCCAAACCCCCACACCAGGAGGAGACTCAACCAAACTCTGGCGTGGCTTCTAGCAGCATAAGTCTGTGTAACCGGAATGACTCCAGCCCACCATTAAAATGCCTCCCTGAGAGCTCAAAGCTGACAGAAAAATTTGCTATTTATTTTAGTCAACACCCAATTATAGGCCTCTGATCCCCTTTCTTAGAGTATTTACTAAAGAGGGCTTACAACTGTCGATATGCATCTCTCACAATTCTCTAAAGGACCTAAGGGCCACTCCTTTGAAATACGATCATTAAGACAGATAGAGACTCTTTCTCTCAACTTCTGAGTGAGGATAGAATCCTAACTTTGATAACTGCAAAGTAACGAACACGGTGGGTCTAATCACAGTTACACTGACCAACCTTTGTACTTTTTTACTTCTTTGACTCTACTGAGCCCCTGAACCCTCCTCCTTCATTCCCTCATTAAAATTCTAAATTCACCTCCTTACAAATCTGAGTGCAGCTCAGCTTCTGTCAGCCGTTACTGAATAAAATCTGCTTTCACCACTTTAACTAATTTCTGCTGCATTTGTCTTTGACAATAGTAAGTCTCTCAATTTATTTGCATCTTCTTTAATTACCGTAATCGGTATTTTATAATTTTCAGCATCAGATCCTGTACACATGTTCTTGAATATATGCCTGAATATTTCATGTTCTTCGGAGTGGTTTTAAATAATACAGCATTTTCAAGTTTATCATCTGCAGGTTCATCGTTAGTTGTAGAAATAAAATTGTCTTTTGTGTGTTGATCTTGTACTTGGTGAACTTTTTGTACTCATGTATTAGTTCTGATTTTTTTTTTTTTTGGTAGATTCCCAGAGTTTTTTTTACACAGACAACAATGAAACTAGGAATGGTTATATTTTTTCCTTTCTAAACTCTATGGTTTTTATTTCCTTTACTTCTGTTATTGCCAGAAGCTTCAGTATTTTGTTGAATAAGAATAGTGAAAGTGGTCTTCCTTTCCTTGTTCCTTATTATGGGGAGAATCATTTAGTCTTTCCCTGTTAAGCATGAAGTCAACTGTG